CCCGACTCTCGGCGAGGCTCTCTGAGCCGAGAAACATTCAGAAATCGGTCAAAAACGAGCATTTCTGACTCCTTTTTGAATCTTTCTCTGGGGCGTTTACAGCGGATAGCTCGAAGCGAGGGAGTCGCGGACCTTTTCCGACTCGAAAATCGCACTCAGCGGGTGAATTCAAAGTTACCTTACTTGGTGTCGGTCCGATTGGCGAACTTTTGATTTCGTCGAGCCGAGAACCAGTCAAAAACAGGTCAAAAACGAGCATTTCTGACCACTTTTTGATCCTTTCTCTTGAGCGTTTTCAGCAGATAGCTCTGAGCGAGGGACTCACGGAGCTTTCCGGACTCGAAAATCACACTCAGCGGGTCATTTTCAAGCGACCTTACTTGGTATCTGCCCGATCAGCGAATTTTCGATTTTGATGCTAAAAATTTAGTCCATGTAACCCGTGTCAATTTTTCTCGATTTGGGACTGAGAAAAAAATTTCAAGATTTCAGTCGCATCCTACGTAGTTGAAGGCGGAGATAGATTCCGCACGGTCCCGACACTCGGCGAGGCTCCCTGAGCTAAGAAACAGTCAAAAATTCGTCCAAAACTAGCTTTTCTGACCACTTTTGTCTCTTTCTTCGGAGCGTTTTCAACGGATAACTCGTTGCGAGGGACTCGAGGAGCTTTTCCGACTGGAGAATCGCACTCAGCGGGTCCTTTCCAAGCGGGTTAACTTGCTTCCGGCTCGATCGGCGAACTTTCGATTTTGACGCTTAAAATTTAGTTAATTTAACCCCTGTCGATTTTACTCGATTTTGGACTAAGAAAAAAGATTCGAGCTTTCAGTCGCATTCTAGGTTGCTGGAAGCGTAGAATCGATTCAGCACGGTCCCGACACTCGGCGAGGCTCCCTCAGCTAAGAAACAGTCAAAAATTCGTCCAAAACTAGCGAGCGAGCGAGCGAGCTTTCTTGGTTCCGACCCGATCGGCGAACTATCGATTTTAACGCTAAAAAGTTAGTCCATGTAACCCCTGTAGATTTTTCCCGATTTGGACCTGCGAAAAACATTTCAAGATTTCAGTCGCATCCTATGAAGTTAAAGGTGTAGACTCGATTCCGCACAGTCTTGGCTCTCTGCGAGGCTTCCTTAGCCGAAAAACAGTCAAAAAAGAGCTTTTCTGACCAATTTTTGACTCTTTGTCCAGAGCGTTTTCAGCGGATAGCCCGAAGCGAGGGACTCGCGGAGCTTTTCAGACTGGAGAATCGCACTTAGCGGGTCAATTCCAAGCGAGCTTCCTTGGTTTCAGCCTGATCGGCGAACTTTCGATTTTGACCCTGGCGAATATTTAGTGCGGAGTCAGCGTTTTTCAACTCATGATTTTGAAATGTTCGCACACTCTGTGTGGATTATTCTCATTTTAATTGATGAAAAAAATATATTTTAAAGGAAAATATAACGTGTGTTTTGTAAATATTAAGGTAGTTTCATATCAAAATTAATGATTTCCAAAGCAAACGAATTTCTACACAATTTCTTATAGCCTTTTATAGCCAATGGCGATGAAGTGCAAAGCCCGGCGATAGGAACTATAGCCCGACTGTATAATTTTTTATAGCTTCGTATAGCCCGGCTATTTGATTTGCTCCGCTTTCTACAGCCAGCTATATGATTTTCAATAGTCTTCTTTAGTCGGCTATAAGAACTCCTATGGTATTTTGAAACGCAGCTCCTATCGTCAATTTTTACCAGGGCGCCGCGCCGCGCCGCTGGCCGGTACGGATATGTCGTAAGATGAAGGATGATGACTAAAGGGTAAAGGACGGAGAGGGATATTTTTGTACCATTTTCACATCAGAAACATATATCACCGCCAGTCCGCCACTCCGAGTCGTGGCAGCGTGGTGCTGCGTCTTTGCGACTGCTGCGAGCACTGTTTATAAGCTCATCACCTTCCGGCGAAGGTATCGCAAGTGCCATGCGACGTTTACACATTTCCACCGACATTTTAATTTTTTTACAGAGAAATTTTTCAACAAAGCTTTCCGAAAATATTACTGAGTTTCCTTTGCGCTGCCGATAAAATTCAGTGAAATTTTAAAACAGATTCAACCAACAATTTCTCTGTAAAAGAATAAAATGGCGGCGGAAATTTTTGAACGTCGCATGGCGCTTGTGATACTTTGGCCGGAAGGTGACGAGCTATCTAGAAAGACTGAAGCGCCTTCAATTTTTGGCATGCAACGCGGATGGCCCATAGGGCACGAATAGTTGCATCAAGCAGGCGTTACTAATCGATATCATTGTCCTCTGCTCAGATATCAAATTATTAATGCTGAAGCGTTCAGAAAAACGTCGTATGCATAGTTGAGCGTTGTTAAATTTCCTCCGACTAACAAAAATAAGAATTACCGGGGAAACTGCGGGGCTCCGTGAGCTCTAACCGCTCTATAACGCGGTACGACGCGACGGCGCACAATGGATCGAGTCAATTGGTGAGGTCGGACAAAATTTGGAAACTTTAAACGCTCATAACTCCTTTCATACATGACTTTGAGGTTCTAAAAGTGGTTACATTGGTTTTCTCGTGAAATTTTCTTGTAGATGCTCCCGTCGAAGTCTAAAGTGTGACGAAATAAACATCAAAATTTGCAGTTCTACTAAAAAAATTTGTGTCCGACTTCTCTAGTTGACTCGATCCACTGTGCGGCGCGGCGTGCGCGGCGAAAGCGCGGAAGCTTCTACTAACACACTCTCACACCATGGCTAGCCATGTCACATAGTTGGTTTTATGCACCTGCACTGCATAGAGAAAAAAAAGGAGGTGTTTGCATCTTGAGGATTTGTACCCACCTACGTCATCAATGTAAACAAGACGCTCGTTGAGGGTTATGTTGACGCTGTAAAAACGGACCATAATGTCCGATTTTTTTACTTAAATCAACTCTTTATTTAATTTCAAGCACTTTTTATAGAATGACTTTTTCCCTTAAATTACACCATTTCCAAGAAAATCGACAGGATAAAAACGTCGCTGTACCCAATGACGTCATCAAAGCTATAGATACTCTATGAAAAATTCCAAGATGCCCGAAATGCAAACACCTCCTTTTTTTTCTCTATGCCTGCACTGACACTGACCGCTACCGCCATGCATTGCATATTGCATATTGCATTGGTACATGAGTTGATTGGTCTTGCACGAGTTCATTCATGACATGCGCAACCTTGTCATGTGTTCTGTGCGCATTGCGCAACCGCAACCTGCTGTAAGCTAAAGAGCCGCTACCTGCAACCAGTGTTCCCAGGCGTACGGATATTTCCGCGCCGCGCGGACATTCCCTATACCCGCGCGGACAGCGTACGGACAAAAACCTTATGGGAAAATTTTTCCCTATCTTATTTTGTCCGTACGCTCGCCCGGCCCTGCTGTCCGTGCGTCTGTTTATCTGCTTCTCTTTGCAATATTTATTACTTTTGCGTAAGTTATTGATACAATGATGTTTAGTATGAAAGCCGGGTATCGTTCGGGAACAAATTAGATACTTTTTGCATTAATTATACTGTATTCTTATCAAAATTCAGTCATTTCATTTATGTCCTTGTGCCCGCCCGGCCTAGTCCGTGCATCTGTTAATCCGCTTTTCTTTGCAATATTTATTACTTTTGCGTAAGTTATTGATACAATTATGTTTAGTATGAAAGCCGGGTATCGTTCGGGAACAAATTAGATACTTTTTGCATTAATTATATTGTATTCTTATCAAAATTCAGTCATTTCATTTATGTCCGTGCGCCCTCAACAAAACAACAAAACAGCCGGAGCCGGAACCGGAACCGGAAACGGAATTCACGGATCACGGAACACGGAGCGGCACGGATATACACGAGCCCATCCGGAGAGCGTACGGACATTTTAAGATAGGAGCACCTGGGAACACTGCCACCGTGGAATTTTTTCCACGGAAGAACCTCGGCAGTGTTCCCAGGCGTGCGGATATTTCCGCGCCGCGCGGACATTCCCTATACCCGCGCGGACAGCGTACGGACAAAAACCTTATGGGAAAATTTTTCCCTATCTTATTTTGTCCGTACGCTCGCCCGGCCCTGCTGTCCGTGCGTCTGTTTATCCGCTTTTCTTTGCAATATTTATTACTTTTGCGTAAGTTATTGATACAATGATGTTTAGTATGAAAGCCGGGTATCGTTCGGGAACAAATTAGATACTTTTTGCATTAATTATACTGTATTCTTATCAAAATTCAGTCATTTCATTTATGTCCTTGTGCCCGCCCGGCCTAGTCCGTGCATCTGTTAATCCGCTTTTCTTTGCAATATTTATTACTTTTGCGTAAGTTATTGATACAATTATGTTTAGTATGAAAGCCGGGTATCGTTCGGGAACAAATTAGATACTTTTTGCATTAATTATATTGTATTCTTATCAAAATTCAGTCATTTCATTTATGTCCGTGCGCCCTCAACAAAACAACAAAACAGCCGGAGCCGGAACCGGAACCGGAAACGGAATTCACGGATCACGGAACACGGAGCGGCACGGATATACACGAGCCCATCCGGAGAGCGTACGGACATTTTAAGATAGGAGCACCTGGGAACACTGCCTGCAACCTGCATCAGTCGTATTTTGTTCGGAGGCAACACTCGCAACATGTTGTAAAAACGAGCAACAATCGCATTTTGTGCGAAGTTGTTTTGTGTTGTGGGGGCGGGGCTTATTTTCGTGCGCAAAATTTGGGAACCCCTACAGCAACATTGTTGCACAACAACTGCAACGTGCTCAGAGCAGGTCGCTTTTATGTTGTTCAAGAAAGCAACGCTGATTTCTAACCTAAAATTGGAAGTTGCTCTCTCATTGGTTGTTCAGAATCGCGTAAAAAGAAACAAGAAAAAAACGGAAACATTTTGTTGTTTCGAACAAAATACGACTATCGCTATGTTTTGAGTTTTTCATGACCACGTTCCTGTAACCTGTAAGTATCATATTATTACTGTCGTTTGAAATTCGAACTGAGCAAAACGTTTAAGTTTCTATCCAGCGAAAACAATCGCTTTGGAATAGCCACCCATTTTATCGCATTAATTTGTATTGCGAAATCTTTCATCTGCCTGAACTCTCAGCATCTTTTGATTTAACTTTCTGGATTATTTTTCGGAGCATTGTTTCTGTATGTCAGTTTGGTATAGAAGAAGCTTCTTTCAGACGTTAATGTTGCATATGATTAAGGGCCCAGTTCAGTCAAGCGATGATGGTCTGTCTATAATCACGCACTCTGGCAACGAATCGCATGCTGTGACATCGTGTCTTTCACAGTGTTTGCGCACGCAGTTGGACCATAATCACTGATGGTTGTAGTAATGAAAGTTTACATATCCAGACCTCTGTCATGGCTGAATGCACCAGGTATGCAATCCAGCTAGTTGCCAAGGAGCAGAAACTTTTTGAGGGAAGGCGGAGAAAAGAAGTACCTATTTTGTGTTCAGAATTTTTTATTCTTCAAGGAGGTAATAGTTTGGCAGGTGAGATGTTTGAGAGGTCGAAATTTCCAACGGAGTATCATGTAGTGACAATTTATCAGAAGAGGCCCTCAGATTCCACTAATTACCAAACCTCCCTCCCTGGAACCGGCCTGAGGGTTGACTCTTAAAATTTTGTGTTCATCTAGCGCTCTAGTACGCTGAGGTAGCGGCTTGACATGTATGTATGTGTTCATCTAGCAGAATAGGTTAAGTGACGTAGCGCGATTGGTCGGCTTTGTCTCATTGCTGCTCTGTCGTCTCCAGGCTGGGTTAAATTATTGACCAGCGAAAGGCACCTCTTAAGTTCCTGATAGCTTGTTGCCAATTCTACCTGATTGAGGAACGACAGAGCAGCTATAACACACACCCGATCAATCACACTGTGTCCATTAATCTAGGTATGTCATATATGTCCTCCTGACAATTAAAAAATTTCAATAATCGGTTCAATGTGGAAGGTGCGGAGATGAAATAAGTTAAGTTCCCTCCAAACAGCACTCGAGCTTGAATGTTAAGTTCCCTCAAAACAGCACTCAAGCTTGAATGTTTTGTTCCCCCATAAACAGCTTGCTTGAATGTTTTGTTCCTCCTGAAACAGCATTTTTTATCTCGCCTAAAAAGAAACCACCCTAGGTTCCCTTATTTCTTGCGACTGGCCCATGACTGAGCCAGTTGGGAGGGCAGGAAGTTTCTGCACCCCTCTGCTTCCTAGACTAATCTTGTCATTAAGATCAACTGTCCGACCAAGATGTATATAACTGCAATCTCAACTTCTACTGTTGAGACTTGATCTTTTTAATTTTTCTTCAATGATTTATCTCTTACTTTAAGATGTTAACTCTTGGAAGTAGCAAGTAAGTGGCATTGGGTAAGTTTTCCCGGTAATAAGGACAAAAATGCAAAAAATTAAAAGTGAAACACACCTAAGCAGGTATTTCAGAATTATTTTAACTTTTTTGTTGTTGTTGTTGTGGTTCGATCTGTTCGATCCTTGGTTTATATTCTTTGGTTACACTATGGCCATTTCGAGTTCAGCAACTCATCATCAGGTGTACAAAAACATTTCGTGATATTATTATAAACTCTGAAGATGACTTTTTGGGCACCTGAAGATGAATTGCTGAACCCAAAATGGCCAAAGTGTAACCAAAAAATGTAAACAAAGGATCGGACCAAAACAACAAAAAAGTAAGTCAAAATAATCATGACATCCAACAGAGTGAAAAAACCCCTTAATTATTTCATAATTGGCAGCTCCAGCGGCCAGAACCTCGCTAAGATTAATACCCTGAAATTTTTCCGGAATCATGATTTCCCTGAACCATCCTTGTAACCCCTCTCGCTGTTTCTTGCATGCCACACTAGGGTGCGGCTTATTTTCGTCATGTCGGAAAATTGACAAGATCCGGGTGGCAATCGGTGCTATCTATGAAAATAATAGGCTGTATTAAATTTGAGCCAATTTGAAGCTTTTTTAGCTGATGCTCAAAGGGATCAAAACTACGGGGCAAAATTACATTGGTTCAAATGGGCGGAAAAATGCTTGATCTGCAAAAATGCGTTCTTTGGATCTAAAATGCGCTTAAATGAAGAAAACCTGACCAGCTCTCAGAGAGGCATCTAGGAGCCCATTCAAAAGGAGAAAATCACACTTTTGACCGATGGGTGTGGGTAGGGGGGATCATTCGAGTGCAAGATAAAATATATTCACAAATTTCGTTCCAGGATCGAGAAATAGTATGGAAGGCAACATTGTAAAGGGTTTAGCATAGTTCTCAAGGGCTAAAACAACTATTATACATCATTTCCCATCAAGTTGTGAGATGCATTTTCCTCTTTAACTTCGTAACACTTATTTTGAGTTCGATCAGGAAGTCTTAAAAGCGATCACTTCGCTGTGGGCGCGTCGCCTCAAAACCGGCTATGCCGGAGCCCCCTGTCCCCACTCATGAGTCAAAAGTGTGATTTTCTCGTTTTAAATGGGCTCCTAGATGCCTCTCTGAGAGCTGGTCAGATTTTCTTCATTGAAGCGCATTTTAGATCCTAAGAACGCATTTTCGCAGATCAAGCGTTTTTCCGCCCATTTAAACCAATGTAATTTTGCCCTGTAGTTTTGATCCTTTTGAGCATCAGTTAAAAAAGCTTCAAATTGGCTCAAATTTAATACAGCCTATTATTTTCATAGATAGCACCGATTGCCACCCGGATCTTGTCAATTTTCCGACATGACGAAAATAAGCCGCACCCTAATGTGGCATGCAAGAAACAGCGAGAGGGGTTACAAGGATGGTTCAGGGAAATCATGATTCCGGAAAAATTTCAGGGTATTAATCTTAGCGAGGTTTTGGCTGCTGGAGCTGCCAATTATGAAATAATTAAGGGGTTTTTTCACTCAGTTGGATGTCATGATCATTTTGACCTCGTCAATTTTCTAACATAGCGAAAATGAGCCGCACCCTAATGCCTCATGCAGAGAACTAGCATGTTTTAAACACCATATCACAAAGCTGAATTAAAGGGTTTAAAGGACAAGGCGCCTTAGTGCAGTTTTTGAAAAAATTGAGATATCAATGATTTCAAGTAAAACTAGTCTCAATATACATTCTGTGAAAAATTCGCTCTTAAATTCCAATTTTTAAGCATCAGAAAGTCAGTTTGAACTTTCTTTCCGCTAGAAGGATCCATTTACCTTATTTTGAAACTTCAAACACATGTTTCTCGAAAAAGCAGAACTGCACCTAGGCGCTTTGTCCTCCAAGCCCCTTAATGTAAGGAAAGGCTATCGGCTAGGAATATGGCTATTTCGAAAGTCACGGATAAAATGTGCTCTCATTTTTCAGCTTATTGCCGATTCCAGAGCTGTAGACCCGCATCTAGTCAGCAGTATACTGTGCCAGACCTCACCTTTGGTCAACTCTCCAAGTCAAGTCAACTTACAAGTCAACACAGTCAGCCTGGTGAGTCCTTGATCTCAATCAGCTTTTCCCACTAAGTGATCTTAAGTAGCTTTGGCTCTCTTTGTTTATTTATCTGATGCACCCACTAGTGTAGGCACTGTTTGATTTGGTGTCTAGGACTGCTAACAAACGGGATCCATTAGAGAAAATCAGGGAATTTGTTTCAGAAATAGTGATTATTTTCTTCGGCTGCTGAGAGTCATTTCGTTTTCAAGTTTTTCATAAATTTTAAGTACATTCTAGGTTTATTATCAGGTTTATGTTATTGCACCTAAGCTGCCATCCTTAATCGCTTTAATGACATATTTGAATCTACAATTCATCATAATAGTTCATAGATAGTTCATAATTAGCTTCTCAGTTGTGGACTTTCCTCTCTTTGCATAAATGAAGAAGCTAATATCATGTCATTAGTGTTACTTGACCTACCCTGGTAGATGCAGCTGGCAATGCTTGCATGGCGCTACAGTCAACTTTCTCTAAGTCAAATATCCTTTAAGTAGAATCTTCTCCTTAGTCAAATTTTTCAAGGTCTTGTCAAATTTTTCAAAAGAACAAAATGCTCTGTAAGTGGAATTTTCCTCACTAACAATCTGGTCCATATGCAGTTTGACTCGGAGGAAGTTAACTGTAGTACAATGTTTCAAAGGTCCCAGATTCAATTCCTGATCAACAGGTTCACTAAATGCTATCTCGCTTATTAACTGCTTTATATTGAGGGGAAGTGTGAGCATTGAAGGTGGCTTTGAGGGAACATCTATACTTAATCTAAGTTGGAGTGGCTGTCTGTGTACAGTAACCAAAAAATAAGTCTCTTAGGTGACCCCAAGTTGATGGAATTAGCTCAAGGAATGCAGGGAAGGGTAAATAAGAAGTGTGTGGAGGATTAAGTCTCAGTGTGAATTATCAGTATACTGAGAAAATACTCAGTTCTATGCTGCTGTGCTAAGAAAAAATGCTGTATAAACCTTCAGGTGTTGCCAAATTTCTTGAGGTAAAATACGAATTCTTAAGATAAAATACGAATTCTTAAGATAATATGTGAATATTTTTCCTCCAAATTATCGGACAATTTTGTACGTAATTTAATCTAAATTATCTGAGAATTTCAAGGGGAAATGTGCGTAACATCACTCAAAAATACATATTTTATCTTATGAAATTTGGCAGCTCTTGAATGTTCATACGGCGTTTTTCCTTAGAACAACAGTGTGGCAAAATTAATACCAAGTATCTTTTTCTATGAATGATCACTCTTATCTGACCCTTACAAACTCGAATGTTTATACGGCGTTTTTCCTTAGCACGGTCGTATAGTACAATTAATACGGAATTTCTTTCTATGAATAATCACTCTTATCTGACCCTTACAGCCTTTCATTATTTACCGTACCAAATTTTTAAGTATCATAAGTCAACTAGGGAAATCTCAAGGAGCTTGGAAAATTTTAAAGTACCAACAAATGAAATTTTACTGTCTCAGAAAAACTGAAACATTGCATTAGTGCTGGACCATTTTTAAAGCAAGTCATTCAATTTTGTTGACCCTTGAAATGTGTTGTATCTTTCAAATATCTATTCACCTAAAAAAATTCATCTCTAATATGCTTCTTGGTCAATGTGTGTTCTAGACTGTGCGAGTTTAGGAGAATATCTGATGCCTACTTCAAATGGCCTCAATGCAAATGGCCCTCCATGATCCTGGAAAAAATAGGCGAAGTGCTGAAGAAACAGAAGATGAGACCGCCAGGAAAAAGTTCAAATCAGAGGACAATATGGAGAAATTGTGTAGTAACTATAGTCACTATGTAAATGTATTTAATGAGTTGTTGATGTTGACGGAAAGCCAGGAACCTCGGGTTTTGAGAATATTTCATCGTCAAGTAGCTGTAACCAAAGATTGCTTGGATGAATACGTAGACTACATGTCCAAAACGGTTTGCAAATCAGTTGAATTTACTCCTAATGAACCATCCTCGGAAGGAATCTCGTCAGACTTAGTGCCTTACCTCTCTAATAATGGAGGACCTGTTGTATGTGTACCTAGAGTAAATTTAAATGAAGAAAAAGCAAATTTGCCCATTTTAAGTCGAGTTACAAGTGAGAGTACATCTCCAAGCAACACCTGGAGGTCCAAGAAGTCATTTCGTAAAGAGAGGCCTGGACCTGCCCCCTCAAAATTGAAGTTAACTGTAAAAAATGTGGAGGCGCACAATGAGTATCAAGAACCTTTACACTATGCTTTAAAACGTAAAGTGCAGCCACTCTCAGAATCAAGCTCCTCTCATTCTGTCCAGTCTCTGAATTTGAAAGAAATTGAAACTGCACAGGATTTTTCTGTTCAACTCTCAGGGAAGAGCCCGCAAATTAAGCTTTTTAAAGTTGATTCAAAACACGATTCAAGTAATGGATCCATTGAGCAGCCTCAAATGGGAACGAACCCTCTAAAAACCACAAATGAGGAAAGCTGTAACAAGAATGATTTAAATGATAATCATTTAAATCTTAATAGTGGAACAAATAGGATTTCATCAAGTAGCCGTACAGATGATGAATCGATTTTCCTTAAACCACAAAAGGTGGTGACAGAAGAAATCACGAAAAGTGTGAATATGTGTCAAGACATCTTCAACAGCTCATCACATTGCAGCGGTAATAAAGTTACCAATCGGAAAATGAAGAAATCAGTTAAACAAGATTCAAGTTTACATTCCGCAAGTGATCCAAAGGATAATGAAACCTGTTCTATTGAACCAGCTTGTGGTGATGCTAGGAAAGAGATCCTCTCAATTGACAACAGTTGTAGTGAAAAAACCTCTAGTCGTAAATCTAAGTCCAGTGCTTTGAAATCACTTTCGTCCTCAGAAATGTCTGAATCCAATGCAGTAAACAATGCTGTTGACAAAAGTAAAATTCCTTTTTTGGGAAATGAAGAGAGTGAACTTTTTACTGAAAATGATTCTAAAGACTTAGCCAGAGAAAAAGAGGATGTTCCCATCTTGTTAGAAGTCAATGCCCAAAAAAATTATAAAACAGTGGAATTATCCACGCTAAAGGATGGTGATTGTTTTTCCATCCTTCATTTAAGTGACATTGACTCCGCTCCACTTACCAATTTGCGCTCTACACCCAAATCACGGATATCTAAATTGAATCGCAAGCATTGTCATCTCAACTCTGGGGAAAGCAATAAAGGAAAAGCAAAGAGCAAGACTGGTGAAAAGGTAGTTGAAATCGGTCAAAGCTTATTACCAGAGGAAACCGTAGCTCAACCCGAGCAAATTAAAGAAATGAAATGTGAAAAAATCAGAAAGAATCGTAATTCCTCATTTGGGATCCTTTCCCCGGAAACAAAATTGCCTCTTCCCAGTTTCCCTCAGAACAGTTCAAGTGGTAACATGACTAATGAAAAAAATTTCTTGTCTGATCGCCTTGAACATGAATCCGCGCCTCTTGTTACCAAAAATGTAGAGAAATGCTCATCAAACGTCAAAGATAAGCCTTCAAACTGTAGTGAAGAAAAGAAGACGAAGATCGAATCATCTGGACATGGGCCCTGCAAAAGAAGTAGGAAAAAATCTGATAATTTAAATGCAGGCAACACCCTGGAAAAATGCTCGAATGACGAATGGAAAGTGAGAGCTGCTTCACCCGACAATATGATTCTGAAGATAGGGAAAACTCAGATTGATTCAGCTGCGGTAGAATGCAAGCATCGGAAAATTGATGAAATTACCACACCTGACAGCAAAGGAAGATCCTGTAATGATTCAGTTAAAATTGAGAAAGACCATAAGAAAATTGATAGCCAACAAAAATCTGACAAGAGTAAAATATCCGAAAAAATAAAAATTAAACTTAGAGAAAAATCTGTCAAGCCTTCAACCTCAAAGAATGACAAAAAAATCGACCTGAGAAGTGAAGGCAAAAAAATAAAACGAAATTCGAATTCGAAAACAGGTATCCAGCCCTTGACCTCAAATAAAAAAAGAAAAATCGACCCTGCATATGGAGGCAAGAAAATAACGCCTGAAATAGCTATCAAGCCTGAAACTCCAAAGAATGAAAAAAAAATTGACAAAAAAATAACTTCAGAAAAAGCTATCAAGCCTGATCAAGAACAAGCCAAAACAAGCTATCAGACATCAGAAAACATCAGAAAAATGGACCTCAAAAATGTAGGCAAGAAAATTACGCCAGAGACAGCCAGACTCACTCCCCAAAAAGGTCTCGAAAATACGGAAAAGACAATCCCTACTCGGAGTCAAATTGAAGGGAACAAGTCTGAGACAGTGAAGGAAGAAAAAACTGTTTCCAAGTCAATTGCTTGTGCTGGCAAGATGAAATCAAGAAGAAATACCACAGACGAGGAGTATCAAGAGATCTTAAAGCATGTGGAAGAAGTTCTTGAAAGTGTCGTTGCCAATGTCGATGCTTCCAAAGAGTCTGAGCCAAAAAAGTCCGCACTTAAACAATTGGAGGATGAATTGCAGATCAGCACCAGTAGCAGTGATGCAAGTCCTTCAGACTCCTCCAAATGCACCACATGCTCTTCTAGCGATTCCTCACTCTTGAGTATTGAAAACAATCAAAGCGGGCATGATGACATCAGCACCTCACAAGTCAAGCCTTCAAATGAACCAAAAACGAATAATTCCAAGGCAATTTCTTTAAGCCTGACAAATTTTCAAATACCTAAGATAAAATGTCAGCCGAGAGAACATGAAGTCATTGGTCCAAAGCAAACATTCAACAGTGTCGGTGAAGAACGAATTGATGTTCTAAAGCAAGTGGAACCCGAAACTCATCCAAGAACTGAGAGAAGTTTGCCACCTAATGCGAAAGCTATGAATGAAAAATTAAAACTGTCTCTTAAGAAACGTCTCAAGCCCAAAGAAAAGATTCAGGGCAGTTCAAACGCAGTTCCACCTGTTTCTAAAACTGACAAAGAGGTTCAAGAAAAAACAGAGCTGAAGCCTGCTCCTTCGAGTATCATCAAAAATTGTGACTCCCTCAATGCAGCTCCTTCAGCTTCAATCATGAATGATCCAGCGGATGATTTTATTTCTTTGACTGTCAGGTATATATTTTGAATATCTTTCTTTCCATGTGTGCAAACAATCTCTAAAGCTCTTTGCATATCATTTAGATGAGTTCAATGAAGAACGAGTTACTGTCGTGAATTTTGATAACAGGTCGGACTTGTTCTCAGAGCGAAGTAATTTTTTTTAGTAGACCATATAACCTTTTTTATCCTGAACGATAGCAATTAGGTACCAGAATGTGTAATATTAAAGTCACACTCTGTGGAGAGTATAATAGGTTGTGGAAATGACTGACTCCCCCTTGAAGATCCGCGATGAGAGCATGCATATTTTCTTAAATTAATTGGATTCTGAAAAATTAAAATGGACATTAATTCAAGGTGAGTTTTCAAATTCAGTCCCTCATCTGTGTCAGCTTTAAAAACAAACTTGACAGCCCAAAGCTCTCATGAGACTTACTTATTTTTTTGCTGATACTTTGAAAACTGCTCTGCTGTCATGATCAAAATTACTTGTAGAATTAGAAAATTAGAAGCACTGATGATCAGTTTTTATTAGTTTTTAGAGTTGTGAATTCTCTTGAGTCATTACTTAAATAAACTGTGAAAAGATGTATTTTCTATGTCTGATCTGAGTAAAATGTTGGTCACAAAGTATGGCTGTATATTTTTAATCTATTTTCTTTTCCAGTGATGAAGAGCTGGATAATTTAGATGTTGCAAGTTCCAGATATTCTAGTCATTTACCAGATCTGGAGCCTAAGAAATCTTCACAAAGAGAAAAGATTTCAAGTTCCTTAGTTGCAGCAAGTTCTCAGATTTCCCTTTCAACAGAGCCGGGTCCTCCTCATTCGTCCTGTGATGGCAGAAATTCTTCCTCGGTAAGAGTGTTTATTTTTCTTCAGTTATTAGTTTTCTTTGTGTAAAAGTGTAAGAAATCAAACAATTTTTCTGCACTCATCATTCTGAGAAATTATTCAAGGAAGAACCAAAAAAAGACTGTCCCAAATCCGGTATCTTCAAGTATAATAATGGAATGTGTAAAGTCACTCACAAAGGGAACTACCGACGCTGCTGTCTCTGACATGGCTGAAATTTTTTTCAAGGATTATTTGGATGAATCTATTGTTCTTTTTTTTTTTTTTTTTTTTTTTTTTTTTTTGTTCTTTCCAATGCATCCAAGAAAGAGTCTGGAATTTTGAACATTTGGTTAACTATTTGGATTGAAAGAAAAATAACATCAGTTAATAAAACAAACAAGCACAGATCATGCGAAAACCACTATTGCCCATTTAATATTGGGGGTGTTGTATTGTGTAACTTTTTTGAATCCCTCAATTTTCAAGGGTTTCACTTTTTGAACTATATTTAAGTAATGTTCTATCATTTTAGTCTTTTTACGATGAATTTTGAAAATATCAAACAGCTCCATAACTCCAGGATTTTTTCCTATCATGCGATAACCACTCATGTCCAGGGTCTTTAGTTTTTAATTACTCCATTGCAGCAATAAGAGGAGCTGGAGACCATCGGGTATTCTTTTCCACAATCCAATCCTGTAATAGTTAACTCTGGAACACTTTTAGTACCTACTGCATTTAAAGGACTTCTCCAGTTTTTGTAGTTTTCTCAAAACTCGAAAAAAAACGGTATAAGCGCTTTTCACATGATGCTATTCAATTGTCAAGGCTGCTAGTAGTAAGCCTGTTTTGCCTTCCCAGTTAGCAGTTTGTTTTGTTGAAACACACAGAAGACGTGAACAGAATAGGTCATCAAAGGGGCGTAGAATCTGATTGTCTTAGTGAGAGTTCTGTAAATGATTTTCCCTCAAAGAATGGCATGACTGGACCAGGCAAAGAGTAAAAAAAAAGTTATTTCCCAAAATAGAAAGTTCAGAAAACTAAATGGGAACTCTACCGCAACTGCGATGGAGAGTAGCTTTAGGATGGCTGCTGAGTTCTCAGGTGGGATAGGAAATGGATGAAGCAATAGATAAGCATAACTCAATAAATACATTCTCATCATATGATAAAATAGACACCGTAAGATCTGACTAATAAAGTAAGTACAAGGGTTGCAGCCTGATCGCTAAGTTTCCAAAAGTCTTGTAACATATGCCTTATGTAAATGAATCCAAGAAACAAAAGCCTCAGGTTTTATTTATTCTGTATTTCAGGAAAACTCAACACTAGCAAGAGTAAAAAGATCCAATAGTGTCGACAGAAAACTTAATTTTTCACCGGAGAGGGTCGATTCTGGTCCTTCATCTAGCACAAGGAGTAACTCTACCTCTGAATCTTCAGCTCTATTTCAGGAAGGCTCAAGACTACCGAGAGTAGAAAGATCTAGAAGGGTGGACAGAAAACTTAATTTTTCACCGGAGAGGGTCGATTCTGGTCCTTCATCTAGCACAAAGAGTAACCCTACTTCTGAATCCTCAGTTCCACACAGAAAAAGGAGAGACTCTAACAGCACATCCTCACAACTTGCCACTCAATCGAATGACCTCTTCTACAATCCTCTGTTTGAAATAAAACAAATGGAAAGAAAGTCAGTGTTATTCTCAGAGCAAGTAAAAATTATAACTCGCCTACTCTGCTGCTCTCTGCTCACTGCAAAGCATCCACCTGATATAATCCAGAGTGAAACTCTGGCCAGAATTGGCTCTTTCATCAGGAATCAGCATGATGCCGAGCCGAGTAAATACATTAAAGAAATCGTCAACTATGCCAATAGACCTGGAAGTCATGACGAAGGTAAGGTGTAAAAGCTGTTTTTATTTTATCACTTTGATAGGAATTATTCTCAGCAAGACTTGGAGAACTAAAAGTAGAATCTATTTTTACTTTTCCTGAACAGATTTTATTGGTAAACTGTTGATGAGAAACTTGAACTCAACCAGAATCCTTTGTTTGCCATTCCATAATTTTAAAATTTGGGCCAAAATATTAGCACAATTATTCTTGTTCAGGGTTCAGAATGATTATGTGCCTTTTTTTGTATGCGTTCAAATTTGGTCACTGCATTTTTGTTGGGCAACCTCGGCTTAAGGTTCGAAAATGAAATGGTTATCCCTGTGAGGCTTGCCTAGTTGTGCAGTATTGTGGAAAGAAAAGGTCTGCAAAATGCCTTGATACACCTCTGCACAGTAATGGAGTGGCATAAAAATAAAAATCTTGAACTTGGTCATCAATCATGCAAAATCTTAATCCTTTTTCTAGCAACATAGCTCTTCATGCCGTAAAAAGTAAATTTGATTGTAGTCTTTCTAAGTTGTTGTGTTTTCTCATAATTTACAGGCATCTTGCCCTCTCTCCTTGTTTTCTTCATTAAATTTGATTTTTAAAATAGTAAGAAATACGAAAGAAAAAGGTGGCACTGTTTGGGCTCTTGCCACTTCTTGTCCACACTGTCATGATCTGTAGGAAGTTTAGTGGCACTGCATATACCTTACTGACATCACAGCATTTCTAGTTGGGTTTCATTTGTTAACAAAAGTCATAACAAGAGCTGACGGAGTGCAATAGAAAAATATAATTCTCAAGCACGAAATTGAATATTGAGAGCCGATTATGCCTCTTTTCATCGATTTAATGTATTTTAGTTTGTTCCGGAGAGACGGCTTTGATAGACGATCAAATTCCAATCAAAATTGACCATTTGATGATCGTTAGTCACCATGCAACCTTCTTCTTTCATCAAAATTGGACGAGTTGTCCAATTGTAATCAAAATGGAGTGCCACCATTCATAATTTCTTGCTGCACAGAACATATCTGCCAAGTTTTCATTTGAAAATAATGTGAAGTAACGATTTTAGGACCAATGATTCCCAACACAATTCCTCTCATTTGAATGGGCAATAATTCGGAATTCGACCGTCTATGGCGGCCCATGGAACAAGTAGACACCTACCCCACAAATTTCCTTGATATATATATATTCATTATTCATGAATCAAAAGTTTGTGTGAGGACAGGGAGGAAGGAGCATCAATTATTCAATGGAAAGCGACTGCATACAGCAGGTTTTTAAGTTGATATCTGTTGTGGACTTATTTAGAGAAATCATTGTTTTTCTCTTGTCAAAAATTCTTATTTTATTTTGAATTGAGCTATTCAATTTTTGTTTTTATTTAGGTACCAAGATTGGCACTTTGATGTATCCGTTGAAGATAGTTGTTACAAATCTAATGGCTTGGAAGTATGTTGAAAAGGATTTTTCAGAAGTCTTTTCATTGTATGAAAATTTTGCTGTTGCACTAGATGTTGATATTTTTTCCAATCCTCCACAGGTAAACTTTGACTTTAGTTTTAGAATCAATATGGGTTAGAAAAATTCATCAGATGAGATCCTCATGCTACATTTAAGTATTATTCAATTATTACATCATGCATTTTGCAGACTATGCCACAGCTATATGCTAGCACAAAGTCAAAGTTGCCAAGTATTTGTTTTGAGTTTGACAGACCTTAAGTGGGAAGCCATTATCTCACCTCTACATTTCAGATTTGAAAATATAAAATATTGAGCATTAAGCATGGTGGCGTCAAAAATTTCTCTTGAAGAACTATCAGGCATCTTGAAGTCAAAATCAGTCTTTTATTGCAAACAATCACTAATTCAATTCACGAAATTCCACTTTTTGAAATGAGCCTTTGTTCTTTGTTCTTCGGAGTACCAGTTGAGACTGTTAAGTTAAAGGAAAACTTTTGAATCAGCTGTTCCCCAACTTATCTCGTAAATTGTTTATAAGAAACAGTACTTTAATTGCAAATATCTGTGCCATGCAAGAGCTTCATTTTAAAGTTATTAAAGTTGAAAAAATTTGAGTTTGCTTATTCTTCCATTCTTCTTCTATTTTTAGATCGAGCCAATAAAAGGTAAGAAGTATTCAGGAAGCTGGTTTGCAATAGCAGTCATAGATGTCTTCACAAAGAACAAGAAACACAATCCCTGTGCTAAAGTCATGCGCAGTAAGTAAAATATATGTTTTATTACCATTTTAGGTACCTATTATTCAAATTGTGCAGTATTGTAGGCTAGTTAAAATAATTGAAAAGTTGCACTCACATTTTTTATTGCTTTATCAAAAAGGACTGAAAGAGCTAATCTTGCAGTATTTTTTATAATGTTTTTCTGATGTGGGTAACAGTATAAAAGTAGATTGAAAAGTGAGGAAATGCACCTCCTATTGACATCATCTGGCAGCATTTCCCATTCCTCAGTAACTGTTCAATTTATGAACCAAAGATAGCCTCATGTTCTGTTCATTCATTGGTTTCCACTCAAAAACGAAATTTATCAAATTTCAGACACTTGCAAATTCCCTACCGAGTGGAATATCGTATAGGGTGTCTCAGTCTATCTGTACGAGGCCTTTTCCACTAGGTTATTTTGGGTAGGATATAGTTCAGGACTGCAGAGATGAACAGGGAATGGATTCCAAAGAAACCAAGCTTCATCATCCCGAAGCAGACGACAAAGCAGCTTTCCCTCTTTGAAGCTAATAGGAGGTTAGAAATTGGGGTGCTGGGCACAATTTTGAATTTTTTTTTATCAAAATCAGAAACTTGCCGCTCAGAAACTTTTTCGCCAAAAATTTCATTTTTTCATGCTCTTTACCATGAAGAGTACGTGATGAAGGTTCCTATTTGAAATTCGGAAGTTACTCCTTGTCCTCCAGCACCTTCGAGGGCAAGGAGTCATAACCCTTCACAAGATTTTTTACCAACTTCAATTCGAGGATGTCCTGTCCAAACCGCATGTCAATATCTGCAGCTGTTCTTGAGATATTGATACAAGGTACACTTTTCTATAGGTATGGACAAATGGAATTTTAGAAAGTCGTCAAAATGCATAGATTTGACAGCGTCCAATGGTACGACTGCGACGCCATATTGAAAACTTATTTACTTTCTGTTCTGAGAGTGGGTCTCGCCAATTTCGTGTTATTTTTTCGTGTTCTTAGTTATGTTTCTCGTTATTTTGAGTTTTATTACTTTTTTAAATTCATCTGATAGCTTATTGAAGCTACCAGATCTGCCAGAACCTAATTTTGAACTGCGCGGCAAAGACAGTATGACTTGCAACGTCACTAGATGGCCTATATTCTCAGCGCTGCCACTTCGGCACCCTGTTTGTCCATACCTGTAGTAGAGTGTACCTTGATATTGATAGGTATTCCTAATTACCTACTTTTTACACTGCTTTTTTGATTAAAAAAGTTTCAAAATGAATCTTAGAGGTTACAACAACTAAAAGTTTGCCAATGTGGGGAATGGAGAATATAAGCTCCTCACCACTCATGTCTGATAAGCTGGCAGCTGTTTACTCATGGCTATTACAAGCAGTAACTCATTTGCAAGTTGCAGCATCATAGTATTTGTTCAATCCTTGTTTGTGATTAGATGGTGGTAGCACTGCTGCCTCGAAGGAGAAAATACTCTGACGTATCCGATGTTCTCTAATGGAACTTATTTTGCAGCAACCCCCTGAATTTTTGAGTACATAAATTTAAATTGGTCTTAAATTGATTGCTGCTCAATGTATTTGGTTTTTTCTCTTTAGGATTGAATCTTTATAACCTGAACCGAAATAAGTGGAAATGGAGTAATACAAAAGACGATGAAAATTTTCATCAATGTGTTTTGACCAGGCTTTTTAAAGCACTCATGGAAAGAAAGGAAGACGAACAGGAGGAAAAAGACGGGTTTGAAAATGCTCTCAAGCATCTAGCACTACTGGTCATCACAAATAGCAGAGATGAACAGTGCGAAAGTGATTTAATTGAAGGTAAGTGGTATGCAAAAAAAAAAAAAAAAATAATTGCAACTGAATGACAGAGAGAAGGATTAACAGAAAATTGATGGAATTTGACTGTAAATCTAGATAGTTCTAGATACCTCTGTTGCGAAAGTTTTTGAGAACAACGCTTCAATATTAGTGAACTTGCAATAATGTCATTTCGGAGAAATTTTTTTTCGAATGTTGGTAGTGAAACGAAAATATTAATAGGATTCTATAGTTCATGCCAAAGAAATTCATGCCCTGAAGATCGTGTGCTGTCAGTTCACCATTGAAAGTAAATGCAAGAATCAGGCTGGTGGATCTTCTGTTGTAGTCTAAAAGTGTGTAAACTTATTTGGCGTGGACTCAAGGAGAAAAAGTTTTGTGACTACAGGGGTGCAGAATGCTCTTGATCACACAATCATGATCGCGTGTCCGCTCGCTGGAGAAATGGGGAAGGCTGTAAACATTTGTGAAAATTGGGGAAGACTTTCCTTTTCCATGTTTTTGGGAAATTACAGGGAAGCACCTCGGCATTTGGATTACATTTTGCACCAAGGAACCACTATTTCTAGCCCATTTTAGAAACAACACACATGCATTGGTTTCCTCATGCAGGTATGTGCGTTTATTGGAGATTCAGAGATAGTGGTTCCTTATTGCAAAATGTAATTCATTTGTGCTAGATGCCTTTCAAGCGCCCTGCTTGTGGGGAAAGATACTTTTAAGCACACTACTTCCAGGGAAGGATACTTTTAAGCGTGTTACTTTTGGGGAAGGAGACTTTTAAGCGCACTGTTTTACACGCTGGAAATCTTTCAGAGGCGCTAATTTTGGGAAAGGAAGCTGTGCGTTGTTTTATGTAGAGGCGCAATCATAGCAGAACAGCAAATTTTGGGGAAGGCAAATAATAAATTCGGAAAGGCGAAGAACTTTCTGCCCTCCTGTGTGGCTAATCTTACAAACTGAAATCTGAAGTGAATTTGTTGTTTTAATCAAACTCAAAATTAGTTCCGTTTGTCAAATTGATCTCATTTTCCTATTTTTATTCCTCTACAGAAGAGTATAATTGCCTCGGCAAACTCTCGGAGGACATCAGTACTGTTGTTTAGCATTCCAATCAGTTAGTGAAGAAGAGTCAATTATCATAGTAGGTGCACTAATATCGTACAGACTATTTTTTGGCTTTTTCTCTGGTTTGAATTTCACAACAAAAAAGAGCTTTAACATATCAGTGTTCTTGATAAGAAAAATATTTGTAGAATTAAAAATGATAAAATTTTTATTTATTCTGTCTTATTTTTGGTAAAATCAGAGAATTGGGGGAAAATAAGCATTGTGAGTTCAGTGCATACAAACCTAGATTTGTCAAGATATGTATGATCAGCTCTTTTAGCAGAAAGACATGGAAAATCAGATTATCATAGTTCCGTATATTTTTGTAATCATGTTTCAGTGCTTCATCTAGACATCAATGACATGTTTGTCAAATTCTTTGAGGTGAAACTTTTTGACGAATGTCAAAAATTAAGCAGAACATTGCCTGAATTGATTCTCCTCAAACTTGACAAGAGCATTTGGCGTGGGCTTGTTTTTGCTGCAGTGAAGGCAAGTAAGACACAGAAGGATGAAGATTATGCTGTGTCACTTTTGCAGTTGGCTGCGGAATATGAGATTTATCCACATCTGCTGGTAATGGTTTTTTCTATAAAAGTTTTTATCGTGAGGCTTGTCTCTTTGATGGCAGGAGTCATCATCAACAAAATCATCTTATCAGAAAATAATCATGCAAATAAAAATAAATTATTATAATGAAGAATTATCTAGTTATACATTTTATTTAAGTAAAGGAAGCAAAAGAAAAGAACCGGTTTGACTTGAATATGAATTTTTTACTGTTATTGATGGTTAACATATCAAGTGCCGCACAGAATGTGGTAGCTGCTTTCTTTTAATGTCTGGAACATTGGTTTAGATTTAAGAAGGTGATAGGAATTTTTTTACATTTTATTACATCCTTTTAATCTATTTGCATCTCTTGCGATCTCTCCTGAAGTCATACAATCTTGCTAAGTCTAACAGTAACAAGACCAGTGATTTTGCTCATCTTATGCAAATTTTCAAGTTATACTATTTTCGACCTGCTAAGTTGGAATTTTTCTGGAAAATTCTGATTCGTCAGAATACTTCACAAAGATTGGTTTTATCATAATTTTTGTTAGGTCAGGTTAGAGGTAGGATTTTTTTCTCCATGGACCCAAACAAGTAGGGATGGCAGTGTGTAATAACAGACCCTCCATCACGCAATGATACGTATAATTTTCGGTATGAGTAGCAACATAACGGCAGGGATGCAGAAAGAAAATGCAAAAGGTTTCTTGCAATCCATCATGTTTGGCTGTTGGCTTTTATTTGCTTCACAAAATGATCGGTAAAATGCCTGATTTCCCCTATATCTTCTAAGTGATGAGCAAACAAAAAAAAAAAAGGTTTGCCTCTTAGCTTGACGTTTCCTAAGTTTTTCCTCTTTGACAATTCATGGATCACAGCAAACATTTGACTAACTTAAGCAATGATAGGAAAACTTAATTTTTTTTCTTTGCTCATAATTATGGAAAAGTACAGGAACTCTGACATTTTCCCAATAATTCTCTCAGGCAAATTAGAACTACAGCCAAAAATGGCAGATAGTATGAAATGGGCTGTTTTCTTTTGGCACCCCTGCTGCCATGATGCAGCACTTACTGAAACTGATTTGTATCAGAGCATAACTGAAGATCGTGATATTGTGTCTTATATGGACTGCATTTTCAATTTAGAACTATAAATTCTGGCTCATCTGAAAAAAACACTCATGTGCATAGGGAAACTAATGGCACATATGTTGTTTTTAAACCAGGCTAGAATTTATAGTTCCAAATTGCAAAATGTAGTCCATATGTTTCAAGTGATTTTTGACTTTTTTGTTGTTGTTATGTTCAGGCGAAAGATGTTACAAAGGATCTCGTTGTGCCGGTTCCGCTTCACCTAATCCAAGAAGAAGTTAAACCTTACATTGAGTTCTATTTCCGAAACAGGCTTGTCAAAATTGTACATGATGAAAGTCTGGAGGTCTTGCGGAATCCCGAAGAAGCTTCTTTAACTTTAAAAATTGAGGTAAGAAAAGCTATATAATTTTTTCAAAATTTTTTTTAATCAACTTCCTTTTTTGTTATTGAGAGTGAGTCAAAAATGCATCTATTTGATGCTATCGCTACATTAAAAAAGGCAGGGTGAACTTAGTTTCCTCTACAAGAAAAATCAGCATTCTGATTGTTAAAATTTTTTATGTTTGTGGACTGGATAAGAGGAAACAAAGGAGAAATGGAGTTACATGATTGATCGGCCTTGCCAGTCGTTCTTTGTGCCGTGCCCAGTTGGGTGTATTTTATGACCAAGTATTGGCAACTCAAGAGGTGACTTTAGCCTCCTGTCGATTCCATTTAACATGACAAAGAGAACAACTGACAAAGTCGACCAATCGCATAACTCCATTCCACTTTAGTCTTGTCTTTTGAGGTTAAAAAACACAACATTTCAGCAGTTACGCTACAGACTATCTCATTATCTGACGAAGCACTGATGAGAATTGCCAGATTGAGATTCTCTTGTCTTACTGAAAAACTGCTCTATTGAACTTGAAAAACTGCTATATTTGAAAAAGAGGCCTAAGTAGCCATTGAACCAAATTGAGTCCATGCTCAATAAATTTAAGCACTTTGAGACTGGGAAAGAAGATTGCCTGATCTCCTCTTAGCATGGAAAGTAAATGCAAGAATCAATATGGCAGATCTTCAGTTGCTGTCTAAAAGTATGTAAACTTATTTAACAAGGACTCTACTAAACCAGGATTTCGTCCCTAAGTTTCCACCCTCTTGTGGGCATTTGGGCAGATTTTTAGCTCTGACTTACTTTACAGCTTTCTCAATCCACCTTGGCTGCAAATTTAGTGGCACCTCAGTGTCCAAATCTTTAGTATCCTCACCCTTTTATATGATATGGTAAGATAAAAATTCCAGATGATAGTTTTGTAGACCTGAGAAAAAATTCATCAGAATAAAGTCCATAAAAGAACTCTTTCCGCTTCTAGCAGTGCATTCCATCGTTTTCTTATTTGCCATTTAATGTTTCTACTGTCACAGGCATTCAAGATCAAGACCAAGTACTCTCTACCATTTTTGAATGACTCCATGCAAGTAGAAGACAAAGTAGCAACTATGCAAACAAATATCATACAAATCCTGAAAAATTTTGGTATCTCTGCAAATAGAACAGAGCTTGGCATTGTCTCCGTCAACTACAGGTCTTTTTTGGCGTATATCAATTCCATTCCTCCAGACGTTGTAAGGGCACTTACAGTGTGAGATCTCACATTAGGAGGTTTTCTGATCTCAGGATTTCTATTTTTTAAATAGTCTTTTTTTATATTAGTTGGACTGTTACCTACTAAGAATAAGTTTTTCTTTATTTTGAGATTTTATTGTTGCGGTATTCTTGCTTTATGTTATTATCATGTGGTTTTGTATCATGGTATGTTATTATTATTTTTTTTCCCTCTCAAAAAAAGGGACCTCTTGCAAGTCAAATGGACTGCATTTTGCAATTAGGAACAAGGATTTCTTACTCAGTTTAGAAACAATGTATGCACTATTAGTTTTGCTCTGCTTTTGTGAGCTCTTACGGATGAGCCAGAAATTGTTGTACCTAATTGCAAAACGTAGTCCAAATGTAAATGGTCATATTCCTTATCAGTTACGACACAATTGAAGGTTTTTACCTCTTTATTGTTCTATTCTGTCTGACTATACAGAGCTTTCTGTTAGAGTAAGCTCTGTCGCTGCTTTTATTTTCTTCATTTTTTTGCCTTATTAACTGAATGAATGAGCTGTGAATTCATTACGGACTTTACTGTAATGCAGTGATGTGCCTTTCATAAAATAATTTAAAATTTCAAGTATTGTTACCTTATTTAAATTTAGCTTAGAGTATTAGCCTCAGATTTGTAGGGCATTGCCGAAGTTTTTGTCTGGTTGTGTTTCACGGAGAAATAATTGGTAAATATCACAATGATTGGATCAGCAGTAGCAGAAGGGAACAAATAACAAAATTGTGTTACGTTTCCTTTGCTTTCAAATAAAATGAGTGCATGTTCTTTTCATGAAATTTATAGAATAGTTTTCTTTAATAAGGGACAATTTTCTTGGGCGGAAAAAACCAAAAGAATTTGAGCCTTCAGGTATTTTTGAGAAGATGATTAAGTTGCACGATTTTTACAACTCTTAAACTGCCTTCCACGAAGTTTGATCCAAGTATTAGAAATGCAGCAATGCCCTCGTGAATTATTGTCGGATTATGTAACTTTTCCAATTTTTATTCCTTTTTTACTCAGAACTTTAACTCTCTTAGTTGTTGTTTTACTTTATTCTGTTGAATTTACCTTTGTCTCAGCTAATTTTTCAACTTGATTTTTCGTCAGCTTAACAAAATTGAGACTGATATATGTGGCAAATCATAAATGACTATTGCGCAGCTTTTTTACCTCTTTCTTTTCATTTGAAAGAAATTATAGTGCATATTCCGTTCTATTATTGCTGTCAGGCTACTTATTTTTCTCACCCAATATTTTATTTTTGTTAATGTTTTAATTCTTAGAAATGTATAATAGTTACTTTTTGTTTTGCATTATGTGATAGTTTTACATGTTTTCTTTGATTTATGGTGAAACTACCAACCTTTAAACTCACCTAGTTACTGAAGTACTATGTCTATTCAGAATTTTTATTCCTTTTGACTCATTAGTCTTATTCTCTCTCTCTTCGTTTTTGTTAGTATTTATAATTATCACATAAGGTTTGAATTATTTCTGATTGCTCATTTTTTTAAGTTTTGTGTTGGCAAATATATTATTTTTGTAATCTATCTATTATGAAGTGATACAAATTTATTCAAATACACACATATTTTAAGCTTCTGTGAACCAGTCTTGGATCATGTTTAGAGTGATGATAGATTGGGTGCTGACAAACTTTTTTTGTGCCTTTTTATTCTTCCATGCCAAGGAAGAACGTCGGATAAGCCTTGAGGCATTGCCAAATTTCTCTTAAAAATATTCCTCTTTCAATTGACCATAGGATTTTGTTAACAGTTCAATCTAAAGTATCAGTGAATTTCGAGGAAAGGTACTCATAAATTTCTTGAAAAATAAATACTTTATAACAAGAAATCTGGCAACCTTCGAATGATCTCAAGGCGTTTTTCTTTAGCCATTTTTCCATGTGTTTCCATGTTTTTCCATGTTTTCTTTGATTTATGGTTAAACTACCAACCTATAAGCCCACCTAGTTACTGAAATATTATGTCTATTCAGAATTTTTATTCCTTTTGACTCATTTGTCTTATTCTTTCTCTTCGTTTTTGTCAGTATTTATAATTACCACATAAGATTTGAATTATTTCTGATTGCTCATTTTTTTAAGTTTTGTGTTGGCAAATATATTATTTTTGTAATCTACCTATCATGAAGTGATACAAATTCATTCATTCAGATACACACTTATTTTAAGCTTCTGTGAACCATTCTTGGACCATGTCCAGAGAGGCTTAGAGTGATGATAGATTGGGTGCTGACAAACTTTTTCTGTGCCTTTTTATTCTGCCATGCCAAGGAAGAATGTCGGATAAGCCTTGAGGTATTGCCAAATTTCTCTTAAAAATATTCTTCTTCCAATTGACCATAGGATTATGCTAACAGTTCAATCTAAAGTGTCTGTGATTTTCAAGGAAAGATACTCATAAATTTCTTGAAAAATAAATCCTTTATAACGAGAAATCTGGCAACCTTCGAATGACCTTACGGCATTTTTCCCTAGTGCGGCAGAATTATGGGTTGAAGTTTGTGTAGCTTGGAGCTGAGGATGTTTCAGCCCTCGAGGTCCTCAAGTTAGTCCATATCGCCATCAGGCAGTAATTTATAATCATATTCTCCGAGCCTCTTCCAACATTTTTGATTCTTTCTCCTCCCTTTTTTTACACCAGAACTTTTATTATTGTGAGAACGGTCTTTTATACCATATATAGTTGCGTGTTTGTATGAGTTGTATTTTTATAGTAAAATGTTCGACTTTGAAATATTAACTACCCTAAGTTTTTTATTCATTCAGTAGGTAACCTCCTGTTGTAGAACTGTGCTGCTATTTTTGAACCAGGGTCAATATTAGTGAAGAAGAACTTGTGTAAAATACGATTTTTTCATATCTCAATACAGGGTAAGTCAAAAATGGCACGTAACCTTTCATTTCTTGAGACCTGAGTGAATATCATTCTGGAGTTCTGTTATTCTAAGTTTAGTTGCCCTTAGAAAACTATAATCAAGTTACTCTGAAAGTTTTGATTTCAGTCCCCTAAGCTTTAGCAGGGACTTGCAAAATCCATAACAACCATTTTTTGGAGTTCTGATAATATTTGCTGTATGGTGCTTGATTTGATAAAACTCAGTCAATTATTCCAAATGAGCCTACTAACAAGTGCCAAACGTGGATTAAATAGGTGAGCAAGTGGGATTATTAGAACTCCAGTTCAGTTTGAGTAATGTTCGATTTTTTTCGGTCAAGTTTACTTGAGGTATTCAATAAAAAAGACTGTGTTCTAAGTTTTAGCTACTTAAGGTGGATGATAGTAACCCGTGCCTGTTAGATAAGTGTTTTTCTTTTACACCTCTAGCTTTTAAGAAAGTTCTCCTGAAAGAAATGGACGTATTTCTACCAAACAGACCTATGTGGAGGTGAGAAATATGGGGTGTGCTCGTTAGTTCTCTGGCCGTAAGAGTGAATGGGAATAATAAAGCGCCAGTGACGTCAGCGGCAATGATAGTGCGCACTCGAGCGAGGGGGAGATCGTCGTCGGGGCGCTTTAACTCGTGAGCCCTGTCCACAACGCTCTCTTGCCATGCCCGCGGCTCATGAATCCCGCATTCGGTTGGCACATAGGTCTGTTCGATAGAATGTAAAATCCCGCTTTTCCAATTCTTCAAAAGGAATCACGCCCACTTTTACATTGCGTCTTATGCAGCTTTCTGGAGCATACCCCATATTTCTCACCTCCACATAGGTCTGTTGGGTAGAAATACGTCCAAATAAAAATCTGTTTCCTGAGAAAATGATACCTACAAGCTGGAAAAAATTAAGCCATTTTCGGCGTAGGTATATTGCAAAAAATAAGCGATTTGTGATGCCTTTTCAGACACGAACTAAAAGTTCACCCTTCTTTTTAAGTTTAAAAAATCTTGATAAGGTTTGAAAAGGCATACTGGCACATGGGCACATCAATTAAGTTTCATGAAATTGCACGAATCAGTCTAGATTAAGGAATCTTACTCAACCCTGTACAGTCGGGAAAAGTTAGAAGCAATTTACTTCTTTCATTTTCTTCGTATGATTAACGATTATGAATGATCAGAGCGCCCTATTTTCGTGCAACGATGACATACGAATGCACTGAGTGACACATTTTGTAGTCGCAGGCGGAAAATAATTTCGGCGCTCGGGTTTTTTCAATGGCAGGGTCTGCATGCAACTATTCGTGTCCCTGGGATATCCGTGTCGCATGCAAAAAAAATTGCAGGGACCCTGGCTTTCTTAAACACAACGTATGGCGCATGTGGCTGTGGTTGTTGTTTTTCAAGGGTTTTCTACGTTGCATTTACAATCGTGTTAACCACGAAATCCTCAAAGCTCGAATGTGCCGTGTTGCAACACGGCAGCGCTGCCAAGGGTGTAAATTTTCCACCACAAACATTTCGCCAAAGATATCGCGGATGTCAATCCTGCAAACTACTACCTACCTACCAATAAAATACAATAAATGGTTCAATAGTACCACAAAACTCATCTGAATTTCGAGGATTCCATGGTATAGGTAAATAAACATGATTGTAAACGCAACCCAGAAAACCCCTGAGAACCAACAACAACAACCTCAGCCTTACGTTACGTTGTGCTGAAGAAAACCAGAGCGCCTCCAATTTTTTGTGTATGCAACACGGACATCCTAAGAACACGAATAGTCGCATCTCGATGGCGAAACAGCAGGAGTGCGTACTTGGAAAACATGATTTTTCAGGACAGCAAAAAAACTGTCCACATTCCTTCCTTATTGCCAGTAGAAGCGAGATAGGTAACTCTTGAGGATATAGCGGTATTAAAATGCTTTTCAAGACTTCATTAGCATTTTGAATAGTTTTTCGAACCACAAGAAAATGCGGCAGAAATACCGAGACTCGCGTTTTTGGCACCAAGAATTCACGCATTTTTGCAGTTAGCTAAAGAAATGAGTAACTAACACTGAATAAATACAGGGTTGCCCATGCAGACCTACCGTAACAAAGTAATTTTTCTTGGTTACTGTAGGTCGGATGAAGCAGGGTCGGACTGGCTCGCATCTGAGGGCGTAGACCCTTGGCTGGTGAAAGGGGCGCAATGTGATATTTCCTGATGGGGCATCCCCTTCGTGGAGAGGGGTTCAGAAAATTTTGGCAACGCACCACAAGTTTACGCTATTTTTAGGTTCAAAGTTTATCAATCGTCCCAAGTAAAAATTGTAAAATTGAACGTATTGAAGTGACCGACGGACTTCTAAAATTAAAGAGAACATAAAAAATTAAAGCCACTAGACACATCCAAGCACCATTATTTCCATAAGAACCGCGTCAGTGCTGCGGTTTACACGAGCTTAAGACGTGGGTCTAAAAATCCAGCCTAAAAAAGATTCAGACAAGAACTTGAAATAAGAAGAAAGAACGAGTATCAACACAGCCGACGACAAGGAAGACGTATTCGGGCGTCTTTTTTAACTTTCCTCCCGAATCTGAGCGAAACCTCATTGGCAGCATACAGCAGGGCATTGAGAACTTACGCTTCGCGTCATCGCGCCTTCAATTTTTCAGATGCAGCACGGACGTCCATCAAGTACGAATAGTTGTATCTCTGCGCCGTCGTGAATGCGCATCCTTTCCCTCCCTCTATTTCCATGTTGTGTTTGTTTCCGTTTGTCTTATTTGTATAATGTTGCTTCAAACTAGAGCAGAGCATTTGCGAGTTTACGACTCACGCCATCGCGTCTTACATTTTTCATATGCAATGTGGAAATCCATCTTGCGAGAATAGTCGTATCACGTTTATACTGTAGATGTCTCTTACTATTGAATTTCGAAATAAAGTAAGGTTAAGTTTGCCCGAGATATGCTATGATATGTCCAAATCAATAGTCATTTTGGAAAGGAAGAAATATGTTTAAAGGTCTCTCATGAGGTCTATAAAGTGTGCGTATGTCTAAAAATCGAACCGGCTATCGCTTCTACGGGAGTTACATAAAGAGAATGAAGGAGGGGGATGATAAAGCGCCTGTTTGTCAACAAAAGGGTGACAATTTCACAGAAAAGTGTTTCTTGAAAGTAGTTCTTAGACCTCTGTTCACCACTATGCGTAAAAGCACCTCTCTTCACTTCTAACTCTTTCTAACTCACTGCTAACACTTCTTATTCTGTTCATTTAAGAAATTTGCCGCATATATTCTCGTGCGTAATTTTTTTTCTCTTCTTATTTTGCTATCTTTCAGAGGGGCGCGTTTTTTGCGCGCCAAGGGGGCGTATCTGCCAATGGCAGATTGGCTTTATGGCCAGTCCGAGCCTGAGATAAAGCGCAGAATTGCGGGGACGAACAGGGAATCGATATTAAAAAAATACGAATTTCATAATTTTGAAGCAGCTGCCGGAATAAAGTTACATACCTTCCAAAGGTTATTATAGATTACCTACGTAGATACCTATACATACAGTTAAAAGAGGATCGAAGAGCTTCACTCTTATTGTCATGAATATAATTTATTATTCTACAAGAGTTAAGTACATTATGAAAATTTCTGCAAACTCAACAGAAATTCCCAGGCAGTAAAATTAAAATTTTAGTTTCCCGTATTAAGGTGCCAGTTCGAGTTCCAAAAGGCAAATACACAATTCTTATTGCAACCATGTCATCTTGTTGTTCCAAGCAGTTTCGGTCAATATCCCCACGTTTTCTAAATTGGAGCCAGGGTAATATTCGAAAGACCACAGGTGGTTATCGAAAACAACTGAAACAGAAATTTGTGATGTGTGCTGAAATCTTAAAGGTTCGGATAAAGTTTGCGGTTAAAGAGGAATGAACAAAACGACCAACATGAAAATCTGCGCCACTGGAATAGCATCTCTTGTATTTCCTTTTTCTTTGTTTTAACAAACTAAAACGGCATCATGAAAGAAAAAGAGATCATATAGTTGCACAATGATTTAGGTACTTGATGCTCTATTCGTTAGGTAATGAGTATAGAAATATTTTTCATCCCAACAGTTAGCACCCAGCAGAATAGGTAAAGATCGAAATAAAGTTGCAATTCGATGCAAATTTTTTAACCATCAAATCATAATATTTTTACACAATTTGGTCCATAAATTCTTATCACACAAAAGATCATTGTCGTAGTTTCATGTATCAAAAAGTCAGGCACTTTCGCAATGCAAAGCAAACAGCATTAGGTACTGCCTATAAGAGGAGACCCTTCAACTATTAATGTAGGCAACATACACAGCACTCCAATGCAGTGGCTACCTACTTTTACCGTGTATTCGTAATCTAATGCAACCAGGGCTATCTGGGATGCGGAATTAAATCGAATTTAAAAAGTAAGTATCTTATTGTAAAATAAAACTGAATCATATCAATAAGTTATTTTGGTAAGACTTTTGAATGGTAAGAGTTGAAATTGCAAGTTTAAGTCAATTCAGTGTGCATTAAGTTTCATGGACGCTTCACTCTTTCTGAATAACCTCATGATGGTTGAATATAGAGAGCTCTCTTAAGTTTTGAGCCGGTGACAAGGAAATAAACATGTATCAAAGAGTTCTTACGCATCTCTCCAGGTAAAAGGTCTCCAAAAAGTGATGTACATGTTAAATCACAAGGATTCACAGGGTTCAATTTAAATACAGTTGAGCCTTTTAGTTGAGCCAGCATTATGAGCCCTTTGTCAAGTTCAATCTGAAATAAAAAATTAATTCACAATGAAAATTATGTTATCACACCGGAACCGCCCCAATTACTCGCACGTGGATTTAAGTATAGGTACCGATCAAGATTTTTCAATATCTTGTGTGACCGGCACTAAGTAAGTAAATTTGGTTTGAGGTTTTGAAACGATTACCAAAGCACAATTGATTACAGCTACTCCTACGTAAAATCACCCAAGGAGTCTGATTTCCCGGTCTAAAAAGCTCCACTGGCTCGTGCGACTGGCGAATAAGGCATGCCGGTAAAAAGGGTCCAAAACAGTCAAAAGCACGCTTTTCTCGGTTTAAGGAACCCCGAGGAGTCTTCAGACTACATGAGAATCGATTCTACGACTCAAATTACATACTCAGGATTCGACGATGAACCCGAAATTTTCTTTCCCAGCCAAAATTAAAAAAAATTGACAGGAGTCGCATAGACTTCACTTTTAAGGTCCTCACAATCGAAAGTTCACCGATGAAGCTGAAACCGAAAACTATAGTCTCATGAAAAATGACTCGAGTGCCAGAGTTCCGAATATCCGATTATTTTCCTCACAGTAAACTCATTTTTGAGGAAAATTTGGATCTTCTGTAAAATCTTAGGTACTTACATGATAAACAATTTCCAAAGAATTTCATCTGCACTTTATGCCTGCTACAAAATTGCACTCATTAGGTATCAAGTTACCATTTTGATAACATGAGCTCGCAGAAGGATGGTCGTGTCATTCAATTAAATCGAGACATTTCAGATAAATTTGATTGCAAAAATTGAGTGATTTGTACTCATGACCTGTGAATGTTGCTCACTAAAAGCCCTCGATCTCTTGGACCGGCCATTTTTGCCTTCCACTTACCTGCTTAAAAATTGTCGAGGTATATCCAGAGCTCATTAGCACCCAGTTATAATGCGCAGGAGCTACAGTTTTGGGTAGAAAATACGGTTTCTGATAAAGTTTTCGAAGAGCTTTCACCGCAATAATATCGCAATTTTGCCTGTAAAAATACAAACACAGGAAAATCAGGATTCTGCTAACAGGTATCTTATGTAAACGTAAGTCAATTTAAAATATAAAAATCTAATCTATGGTACCTTCCTATTCTTGATTTTTCTTTCCTTAAAAGAAAGCCATAGGTAAAGATGAGCTGTCAAAAGCCAAAAAAGCATACTAAGGGGACCTTTGGTAATGTTTACAATGGACCACTAGACAAGGTACTTACGAATTTCAGCATTCTGATACACGTTTCTTAACCAAAATTTCACGTAGAACACGATACGCACAACGAAAATTATCGAAATCAACTCCTTACGAAGATATTTACTGATTCTTGATGCGTGAATTCAAACCACCCGCTCATGAAAACTCAATATTCTAAGTGATTCACATCAAGCGCTAAACGTTTATCATGACGGTCTCTGCGATATAAAAATCTGGCAACCTCAATCTTAACGCTTTGGCTCAGGTATAGCGAATTGCTTATAGTTTGAACAACACATCGACGGTGAAACTACCAAACCACGTATCTCGGTTTGCGACGTCGCAGACTTCCTGTCATACTTTATTTTTTAAATGAAAAACTACTTAACATCCAGTCTTGAAAATCTCTGTGATTTTTCCTCTTTGTGCGGAGAAAATTCCGTGAAAATTTTAAGGAATGATATTGATTTGGTCTACTTCAAAAAAATAAAATGTGAGCGTAGATTTTTAAACACCGCAAACGAGATACGTGGTTTGGTAGTTTCACCGTCGACATGGTGGGAAATGAACATTGCTCGATAGAGAAGATTGCCGAAACCGTTGTATTGCGCGATTTGACTCCTGTAGAGCTTTGAGTTTCATGGGAGCGGGCAGTTCAAATTTCTCGTAACCAATGTGAAATAAAAACGTTAATATCTTCGTTAGGAGTTGGTTTCAGTAAATTTCGTTGCGCGAGTCGTGTTCTACGTGAAATTCAGGTTAAGAAACATGTATCAGAATCCTTTAACTCGTACCTTGTTTAGTGGTCCATTTATATTTTGTTAAAATTTGTGCTAATCTTATACAAAAGCTGGCTGACGCACTTTTTTTGTCATAACTTCAATGATATTTCCTAAGTGTGAAACATATAGTTGAAATTTGTCGAAAACTTACAGTAGCATGTGCCCAGAGGGTTCGATACCATTGAAAAAAAGAAGAAAAAAAACAGAGGGCAAAATCTAGAGCATGTCGAAAGGGATGCACAATTTTTATTTCCAAAAATTAAGAATGAATGCCAATTTTCATGCTCTGGGATACCTGTTCCTTGGGGGACCGTTGATAAAGTTCACGACATTTAGGAATTTGAAGACATTATTAGCAGCCCTCAATTTTTGCCCCTTACTTGAGTCAAAGCTAGCTTGAATCCTCAAGTTGAAAAATAAAATTCTCACGCCTATTTTAATCGGGTGCAGCTATGCCTATGGCATTCTCATTTTATAAAGAGTCTTGCCAGATTCGATTTCTGGAAGTACGGAAATTTTAGTTGCTGTCCAAAATACTATGCTGAGAGTACAAAGCTGTTGACTTTTGGCTGACATCCGGCACAAGTTTGCAACAGTGGCGAGAAAATCGACTATTAATAGTATCCCATTTTAGGCTGTGGTAAAGAATCTATTATAAAGGTGTTTGTTGCGAATGACCTGTTTATCGATCATTTTCCATTGCTTTAAATGGCAGGTCAATCGATAACTCGCAAAGCACGCCATGCCACTGTTTGCAACTCTCGGTTTGACTTCAGGTTGATCGAATGCAGAATTTTTTGTCAGGTATATTCGTATCAGCTTATATTTTTTTCTTAATCACTTGGAGACAGACTTACTCACCAATGAACAAACCAGTTTTTAAAATCGGGGTTTTTGATTCGTTTTAAGAAAGCTGCTAAATCCATTGAGCTGATTCTTAGATTGCTTGCTGTCATGCATGGAATCGGCTCACTCAGTCCCCCATTTTGATCGTACAACTAAAAAAAATCAGTAAGAATACAGTTTTTGGTCATTGAAGTTTTACTGATGAGAAGAAAATCAGGTGCTCTTTCCAAAATGAATTTTTTATTTAAATTTCAAATTTAAGATAATTCAGAATAATTGACAATAAGAGCGATTTTAAAGCATTTCCAAACAGAAAATTATGCATGCTTCATCTCTCTCACAGGCAGCCTGAAACCATTATTTTTTTTTAATCAGCAAGGTTCAACAAATCTAAGAATGAAATTTAAAGTTTTTTTGCACAATGAATGCATTATTGGTGCGTCGACACTCTTCGCCAGATAATTATCTGAAGCAATCGCATTTACTCACTAAGCCAATTTTAAGCTGCTACACTGTTGATTACGTTTTAAAATGACGCAACTATTCGGCCCCTGAGACCACTCTAGGAAGCATCTTTTCAAAATGAAGGCGTTACTTATGCCTCAAAACTCCTCATCGTGAATTATGTGAAGCAACCGCATTACTCGCTAATCTACGCTGCCTCATTGTTGATTGGCTTTTGACATGATGCAACTATTCGGCCTCTGAGGCCACGCTAGGAAGTATCTTTTCACAATGAAGGTATTTTCAGACAACGCACCGTCTCCGAATATGCCTAAGGAAAAAAGCGCCTTTTTTGTCGATGGAAGACACGATACGTCATATCACCAAGCATTGCAGTGCTCTCATGCACAATACTTATTCTCCTGGGGAATATATTCGAAAAAAAATGTTGATAAAAATCGGACTAGTAGCAGGGACAGTGCATTGGAAAAAACCAAAATGGCGGACTTTAAGGGTCGCCATCTTGCTCCATTCGCGGGTCTTAAGAGTGTTGCCTCTTCAAGAATTACTTTTGGGGCACCACCAACAAAGATTACTAAGGACTCCAGATACCGCATTGGAATAAAAAACGGCCCCCTAGTCCCCTGCAGCTCCAGGGTAGGCAACCTGTTTAGCGGTATGCCATACTTCGAGCTAACGAATATACTGTTTGCCGTGTGTTTGACCGGTTTCGCCGTGCTGTGCTAAGTTTGGTTAAAGATTCACTGTATTAAATTTTCTTATGTTTTAAATCGTTAAAAAATGCCGAACCCCCCCCCCCCCAAAAAAAAAAAAGAAAAAAAAAAAAAATTAATGCAAATATCTCTGCTCAATTTTCTGAGTCCATTTACCATAACTAGTGACTAAAATGAACAATTTTCGCAATTTGCCGGTCATAATCTGCACATTCGAAGTGCAATTTCCCATGCACTTCCATTACAGATGGGCTAAAGTATGGCATACCGCTACACAGGTTGCCTACCCTGGCGCTGCAGGCGACTTCTTTCCTACGGCAAGTATACGGCGTGCGGTATCTGGAGTCCTTAGTAATCTTTGACCACCAATGAGCCCTGAAAGTGGTATATTCCAATCAGAAAGTGCAGGGTTTTTTTGCCATTTTTGGATTTTAGGCAACGGATTATAAGGATTGAGCTCCACAGGGCGATTTTCTACCCAAAGAAGCGCCTCCTCCCCCCCCCATATGCCTCCTCATCTTCGTTTTTATTTTACCTGCCCTTCACTCCCCTCTTTTTCTCTTTTCCCCCTCGTTTTTTTTTTAAATTTTTCCCTTCCTCCCTCTTTTTTCTTTTTTTCTTTTTCTTCTCTCCCCCATTTCATCCCCTCCTTCTTCCACTCCCCCGTTTGTTTCGTATTGGCACCTTCGGCAATACGGCTCCTGGTTTGTTCCATCGCTCTTATCGCTCCACCTTCGCGACAGCCTAGAGAGTCCAATTTTCCCCCAATTTTTTTTTCTAGCGTGCACTGCATGTACACGAAATCATACGGAAAGGGGAAGAGAGATTTTTACTCCAGCATCACCTTCTCCTCTCCGAAGGAATAAAGGACGCGACTAACCACATCGGCAGGATTGGATTTCTTTTTCAAGAAAAAATGTGCGCGTTTCATCGTGTTAATTCCATACAAAGTCGTGCTCTTCGTAACTGATAGAACGAAAAATTTGCATGGATAGAAAGCGGAAGATTGGTGGGTCCTAGGCCGTTAAGCTCCTCCGACGCACGGCTCTGAGATGTGCAGGTGCTTCTCAGTCTGGAAGGAAGATCATTTGGGTAAGTCGTTACCTGCGTGATATTTTCGAAGGAGAAGCGATGACTTTTGATTTCCGACCAGGTGGGCCAGGTCTCGAGGGCGTCTGTGACGATTACCGGAGCATCCCGTGACAAGAAGTTGCCGAGCAAGAAATCAAAATTCGTGTCCCGAACGTGATCCACTCGTTCCACCGTTTCACAGCTCTGCAAAGTGAGGAAAAACAAAATCAGCCAAACTGCCCGAGGGACATTTGTCAGAGCGCGGAGCACACGGCTAGCCAGATTACTTAGCCATATAATCCATTTTCCATTGAGCGTAAAAGAATCGCCTTCAAATTTTAGATATGCAACCCCACACCAGGCGTGTCTGAATAGTTATCATTCACATGTATGAAGGCACCACTTGCCTGTACTTTTCTCTTCCAATTCAGCAAACAATGAAAACAACTCGAGTCCAGAAAAGTACTCAAGTCGATTCCTAGACGATGACTATACAATGATTAAATATTTTAATTTGTTACCATTTTATTAATTTAATTCACTTAAAGAGCCTACGATCCCCATTTTAACCCATATATGCCAAAAAATATTTTTTTTATTTATTTTTTATTTACTTGTTGTTTTTGACACTATGTAGACAGGGTAAACACGTGTTGAGGCACAACAAAAATAAAATAGGCTTGCCTATATCCCAGATATATCCTGTGTTGAACACGTTAAATTCCCCAATTTACACTACACTTAAAATAAAAAACTAGCTGCGATGGGTCGTTAACGACCCAATGGGCATGTATGGGTAAAATGTAGTTAAGTATGCGCGCATAATTAAAATATCATATTTTGGTACTTACTGCGCAGTCCTCTTCTGTTATCCCTGGGCGGTATTCTTGATACAGTGGATTCTGGATGAGACAGTTGTCATAGAATGAATGTCTCCAGTCCCACAAAGGTAATATCTGTAAAGAAAATAATAATATAATGAAGGAGTCACCTACGCAGTGGATCCTAACAGTACGGTTTTTTTCATTTACACATATTATTCATTTTAAATTATGATTGATTTCCGTCTGAAATTATCGAAAGAATATACTGCGCAATGTTGGCCTTTGAAAAATACTTTTCTCCATCGAACATACGAATTGAGAGCGTAAAGAAAAGTTAAGGTGTCAATCGTTGCGTAAACCTGGCGAAATCCGTTTACGTACCAAGGTCAGCTTACAGAGGTACAGTTATTGAGTCGTTGCTAGATCTTTGTAGGGCCGGATTTAGGGAGTGGCCACATTGGCCACGGCCCATGGCGGCAAATTTAGGGCGCGGCAAATTTTGCAATTTTTTTAAATGAAGGTATTGAAAAAAAAAAAAAAAAAACGGATTAAAAAAAAATCACAAACAAGAAAAGGCGACAAAATCTCTCATTCCCTGAGAGTATAGTAATCTCTAATGTTGTCGTCTTTCGGTGATACAAGAGACAGCGCACCTTTCATTAGTCGAGTTAAGAGAGAAACCTAACACGCAATTTCGCCTGGAGCGGCGCAGCGCTGAGAGCAAAATGACGACGACGACTTGAGATGAAAAGGAGGCGCGGCGGTCGGCATGTAACACATATTAGCACCTACAAGAGTGTATGAATACTTCACGCATTGTGTCATACACTAGGGTGTTCCGTTTTCAGACAACCATCTCAAAACCTTGCTCCCCGGGCTTTTTCCCATTCCTTTTGGTCCCCAAAAGATAATTTTGAAGTTTCAGCGTCATAGCTCAAGTCTACACTTTCCCCCAAAGCGATGCAAATTTTGGAAGGAATTACATTGGTTTAAATGGGGAAAAAATAGGCAAATTCCCGGAAATACGTTTTTCGGTTGTAAAACGCGCCGAAATGATTTCAGACGTGACCATCTCTTGGGAAGTCATCCAGAGGCCTATTTTGAACGAGAAAATTCCACTTTTGACCCAAAGAGGGGGGAGGGGGGGTCAGGGCGCAGTTAGTTTTGAGGCGCTGCGCGCAGCAAAATGATCGCATTTGACAGTTTTTGATCAACCTTAGAACAGGTCCTTGGAAGCTGAGGAGGCTAATGTATCTCATAAATTGTAATAAAATAATGTACAAGAGTTGTTTTCATCCCTTCCGAACTATTTTCGATCATTAACACTGTTGCCAAATTTACTCGAACCTGGAAGGGAATTAGTGTTTATCAACTTCTGTACTTGAGTGATTTTGGTAACAGTGTAAATGGTCGAAAATAGTTCTGAAGGGATGAAAACAACTCTTGTACATTATTTTATTACAATTTATGAGATACATTAGCCTCCTCAGCTTCCAAGGACCTGTTCTAAGGTTGATCAAAAACTGTCAAATGCGATCATTTTGCTGCGCGCAGCGCCTCAAAACTAACTGCGCCCTGACCCCCCCCCTCCCCCCTCTTTGGGTCAAAAGTGGAATTTTCTCGTTCAAAATAGGCCTGTGGATGACTTCCCAAGAGATGGTCACGTCTGAAATCATTTCGGCGCGTTTTACAACCGAAAAACGTATTTCCGGGAATTTGCCTATTTTTTCCCCATTTAAACCAATGTAATTCCTTCCAAAATTTGCATCGCTTTGGGGGAAAGTGTAGACTTGAGCTATGACGCTGAAACTTCAGAATTATCTTTTGGGGACCAAAAGGAATGGGAAAAAGCCCGGGGAGCAAGGTTTTGAGATGGTTGTCTGAAAACGGAACACCCTAGTCATACACAGTGCGGTCAACTGCGGTTAGCGTGAAACACGTAGCGCCTACAAGACTGCATGAATACTTCACGCATTGCGCCAAACACAGTGCGGTCAGTGCGGCGCGGCGGTGGAAGTTAAACTTATCAAACCACATTTATGTTTGTTCTTTCATAAGTTTTTCGTTCATTTCTTACACATGGAAGGCCTTGTTCGCACAGAAATAGGTTTACGGAACTGAACTTGCTCACAAAGTTCCGTGAACTTTTGCTAGTAGAGTTGACAGGGCTTAAGCAAAAAATTTTGTCCAACACGAGTGAACGTGTCTTATGCACCCCTCCCCATCCGACACGTTCACTTGATGGTTTTTATTGATGTTTCAAAACGAATGAGAAGGGGGCGGCAAAATATAGGCGGCCCATTGGCGGCAAGTAGGTAAATCCAGCCCTGTGTACTGGTATTAAGGATTTAAATAGCCTTTCGTTGGTAAGTGGGAAGGGGCGGGGGCTACATGCATATCTTGTCAATAAATGCACTAATTATTGTAGAGTGAAAAAAGAAGCATGAGAATCAATAGAAGTTAGGTTGAATGGAAAAGGGAAGGAATAAAAGGAGGGAAGGAGAAGAAGAGGCAAAGGAAACTACAGGATGATGATGAATAGGAGGAAAGAGAGAGGAGGAAAAGGGAGGGCCATTGATCTTCCTGAGTAGCCTCCACCTTCACTCTCTATTCCTTGACCCCCATACGCTTTAGGCGCAGCCATGAAGGAAGCACCGATAGATTGTGAAACGATTCCGTGAATAGCGCAACTGCGGGCTGATAATTGCAATTGACAGACAAAGCCATAGGCAAAGAAGGCATAGGAAGCATGGAGCGATCCTATTGGTCGAAACGGGTGGCTGTTACAGACAAAGAGGGAAAATGATGGACTAACAGCAGGGTCTCTCGTGGGTTGCCGTTAGTTGGTCTATTAATTACCTCCTTTGTCCATTGCAACCAGAGACAAGAGACCCTCCACTTCCCTCTTGGCGACAGGTGGAAGCTTTTACTTTCGGGGACTCAACACTTCCTTATGGACAATTATAAGGAAGCAACAGTCATCACTCTTTTTCCGGCTGTTGACCGACCTACATGGTGGATGCTGAGCGTCGGGTGACATCATTAGCCAAACAAGTTTCCCAAACTTCGACTTGTTTTGGCTTGTTTACAAAACGAAACTGCCAACACGTTGTTAAACATCAACCATGTAGGTAAGTCAACAGTTAATTGTTGAAGTCCCGAAAGTAAAAGCTTCCACCATCGCCAAGATACCAGTGGAGGGTCTCTTGTCTCTGATTGCAACCACTCGCTTCCAACAATAGGGTGGCTTTATTTTTAATTTGTCTTCCTTGTCCATCGCTTAGTCTATCAATTTCTATAATGAGCCCGCTGATCCATTTAAAAGAGAGACGAGGGGCTAGTCACCTTGATGATAAGGATCCTGGTGAGGACCATGGCGTGTGTTTGGACAGCTCCGAACTGGAGGAGCTGGTGGAGGGCAGCGACGAGGAGGACGACGGCAAGGGTGATCTTGGCCATCCGCCGGAGAGCGCTATGTCGCATGGCCGACTCCAACGGCCAACAGATGACTTGCATCTCCACCGCGGAGAAGCCGGCCTCCTTGCAATACTCGTAGAAGCAGACCAACTCCATCTCCACTGCTTTGAGCCGAGCCCCTGAGTTCTCGCCGGGTTCTGCATCTCGGTTCTTGCGCCTGAGTCCCATGTCCCACCGGCGTATCCCATTCCACAGCTTCATCATTTGCCTCGCGCTCTAAAGTGAAAATAACACTTGAAATTCCAATGAAATAATCGGAAACAACTTAATCCGCCCGAAACGATAATACTAAATGACTTAAAATGGGACTGAAGCAGAGGTGCCCCGCCAGGGGTTTTCTGAGCAGCTACTCCTCAACTTTGGAATTGAGAGGGGCCCAGATACCACAAAAATATTTTAGTGTTCCCGCCGTTAAAATATTTTGAAAATATTACAATGTTTCCTCCGTTAAAATATTTTCAAAATGTATTTACCGGAATTTTTTCAAAATATATTCACCAGAATGTTTTCTAAATATATTAAATATATTTTGTGCTAACTGGGAAGGAAAGGGGGGGGGGGTGTTTTGTTTGACACCTTGAAAAAATCTTCTCTCCCTTTCCCTCCCAAGGAATTTTTCCCTCTTCATAAGAACATCCTCACCCCCCTATGGAAAATTTCCTTCTTACCTTAGAAAATATGTCTCCCTGTAGGACAACAATTGTGCTTGCCACTATCTAAGAGAATGTCTTTCCCCCAAAAAGAGGTTTCTTCCCTCCAAATTTAGTTTCTTCTCCCCCTTCCTCTCTCCCTCCCCTCCAAAAGTAATGTGTTCCCTCGCGGGAATCTCTTTCTTTCGAAAAAGATTTCTTACTCCCTCTAAAAAAATACCTTCCTCCAATTATAACATCTACCCGTTACTAAGAGAAATCTGTCTTATCCAAGAAATAGCTCCCCTCTCATCCAGGATAATGTCTCCCCCATGAAGTATTTCTGTTGCCCCATGTTTCTCCCCCTCCTCGTGAAAAATTTCTCACTCCACGAAACATTTCTCCCCCTAATGAAAAATTTCCCTCCCCTTTCTCCCGACAAAATGATCTCATTCCATAAAGATCAGTTTTTTTTTAAACTCAATATTTGTTCCTATAAATACCTCGGTTACCTACGGTTTATTTGTAAATTTCAGTTACTTGGTCCGTCTTGACTGTTTCTAATGTTTTTCAGTCGTTAAAAACTAACTTATTTTCTGTGTATTCTATTTACCTTATAATACCATATGATTTAAAGGTGTCTTATTTTTGGCTGTTCATTTTATCCTGAAAACATTGTAAAAAAAATTGAGTCTTAGAAGAGGTTTAAAGTCGCTGATAAAAGTGCCTGGAATTGCGTTTTATAGGTCTTTTTATTTCAAAACTTACCGGGAGAGGCTCCCTGGACCCCCCGCTGAATGAGTAGAGTTGCGCCTTATGTAGGAGGAGGGGAGAAGCATCTCTACTTTTTTTTTGAGGGGGGGGGGAAACCCTTCAACTGGGATGGGGAGGGGGATGGACACCACTGCGGCCGACTATCACGGGAGGACCATTCGAATTTTTGAACGAGACTGTGAACTTATGAAACCTAACTGTGGAAGTTTTTGCAAATAATGTAATTAGTTCCCAATCTAAAATTTAACAACTCCACTTCACTCCTCTATATCGGCACGAATAACCTGTTGCTTTCAAGTTCACATGCACTGTCATAATAGTTTGGGTAACTGCCGACGACCCGAAATGCTCATGCACGCGATTGTAGAAGTCAAAATAGACATGGTCCTACGCACCAAGGTCAGATTTATCGGAGGAAATTTTCTGAAGCAGCCACAGTGAACGGTTTCGACAGCGCGATTTTCAGTCCTGAGGGATGAAGAGCAGGATGGTGAACTGAGGTAGGTACGACGAAATGGGAGGCGGAGGTGGAGTCACGCTTTTATCGATCTGTCAGCTGTTCCGGGAATTTTCAGTGCACGGTTGGATAGTTCGTGGGGTTAATTTATCGT